GCGTTTCCCTTGTTTTCGTCGTTGTCGCTGTGTCCCAAGTGTGTTGTATGTATTACCGCTCACGAGAACCGCAGTGTAAACAGGTCGAGTGAGACCGAGTCGAAATTTTACTTCTATATTAATCTTAGGAATACCGCAAAACTCGAGGAAACCAAAGGAAAAGCCCGAGATACGACGCTCTACAGCACCGATTGATTTTCACGTTACAAATAGTTACATATCGCCACTTTTCTCCCGGCGTTGAGCTTTGCAAAATACTCACTTAAATATTATTCAACGTTTCATTATCTCGATATTTCACATTTAATCTTTGCTCGTCATTTTAGTCTATTAATTATGTAACTTACTGAATCGCAAGTAGAATATACGCCAAGAGAGGATATATATTAAATATTTAATATAGATAATAAATAAACTTAATGTGAGTAACTTTACCCACCTGGAAATATATATGACGTATCGCTGCCTGCGTTCTCTACATGCTGGCTTCCTGGTTCAATATCCTTTTCCTGGCTGCTCCGTGCTTCCGGACACTCCGGACTGGCGCTGATGCGACGTTCGATTGAAAGAAGACGTACCAACTAACGCGATGCCCGCGCAAGGACTCAGAATATCCAAGAGCCGATGGCGTATTTACCCGATGGGAATCGTAAACAAAGCGCCGACCTACAGTCTGCTTACTAACAGTGTAACCGACATAACTCCTGTTTGAAAACAGTTATATCGAAAATATGAACGAGCAAAATAGAAGGATTCTTCTCATATGACGCAATATGCAGAGAGTCCCAATCATTGTTTAACGCTCGCTCGACGTGTTTAACAATGAGTGGTGTATATTGTCATTGTCTGGGCGGTGTTTCTTTTGTTTTGGTTTTTAATTCTACTCGTGGGGTGAGTCGCGCCAGATTTTTAGGGATAATACGGAATTTTAAGGGAGAATACGAAGAATATGATTTATGATGAAAAGTATGGGAAAATTTAACTCGTAACACGGAATTTATATTACGGTTGTGGAGGTAATAAAACGCAGAATCTTTACCAGCGCTGGAATCCGTGAAATCCGCGCGAAACAGTTTGAAGAGCACGAACTCACGAAGCTCGTTGGCATTTAACACGTTACTTGCAAACATTTTTCGTCGTTATATAAACGTGTATCGTCTTACAACGATACAGAGTTCGAGGGCTCTCTCCAAAACTAACTTTCCAGCTCGAAAGCTGCAGCGTACTTTCTTCGAAAGAGCAGGATAAAAAAAGAATGAAAGTTCTATCCACTGAAATCCCCGTTGCATTATTGTCAACGAGCGAGTAGAATACATGGACTTACTTTCTGTTTAGAATCCGATATCCTTTCGTGCCTCGCATCAAATCTTCGTAAAAGGCTACTTAGGATTTCAAGATTTGCGGCGATCCGATCGTGAGAGTTCTTTCTGATCGATCTGCGAAAACAAATTTCTCTTTAGAGATTACGACTCGATCGGGCGAAATATCTCGCGAGTCTGATGGATCTTTGCGAGATTGCGAGAGCGCTAAAATTTAAATTAAATTTCCTTCAAAATTAAATCCATTCAATTTAATTCCCAATTCTGTTAATTGTTAGTGGCATCTTTGGCAGTTCAGTTCACCAAAATGTCGCACAAAAGTGGAAGTTAAATGAAAGCTTAACGCGCAGCGTTAAGTTTTTACTACAAGCAAACCGAAATCCCTTGTCGGCAAATTCGCTTCGAATTTGGTTTTCTCACGCTTACGCAACTTTTATCAGCCGCGGTGATCGAAAGATTGACAAAAATTATTTATCGCTAATCATGTTCACGAAACACCGATAATTTATCAGACTTCTTTCTTCTTTTCCCTTCCGCTTTCTCCGCCCAGGAACGCCCAATCCTAACAGTAACAGTATTCTCGGAGCGCCTCTTTCGCGCGACACTCGATGCTTCTTTTTCCCTCCACAGATCCAACTTACACCACGGCCATCTTTCTTCCCAATAGCACCGCCGGCTGTAATTTGTGGGGGACAAGAACTTCCCGGGGAGGCATTGAACAACTTTTATAATGTTTTTTGCGTATCGTAAAACCGGCGATACTTTACTTTCCTCTCATATTATCGCATTTCTGAAAGTTATGTGAGCGCACTAGCGAGAGTAGACCAAGGCAAGAACTACCTTAGTCGGGACGCGCGGTTTTCGATGTGCGGCGCGAGACACGTTGCTGCGCGAACTAAACTACCAAAAAGTTATCTTCTCCTTAATATCGTTAGTTTTGCAACAAGCAAGAAAATCACGATCTAATCGAATATATAATAACAGTCGGTCTATTTTATGGAGATAAGAACGTTCCTCCAATAGCTTACGTATCGAACAACCATTTACCTCCGCGCAGCGTATCAGCTTCATACACTTGTTTTATACGCTTATAAAATAAAACTCATAAAAGCCGAATTGCATCTGATTCCGCTAATCCTCCGTGCGCGCGCGCGCTCAACAACGTCTTTGCCGCAAGTTTGTTCGAGCGCGCGCTCCGATACCCGAAGACGTTAAGATACCACGACGAATGTCAAGACGTCTCTTCGCTCTCTCGGTGGGCTGCTCTCGGCGTAAACGGAGAAGCGCCATCGGCGATAAAAGCGTTGCCATCGTGAAAGCCGTGTCCCGTCGCGACGAGCGACTACCACGACAGCAAAAAAGGCAGAAATCGATTAGCCCTAAGCACGCGCGCGCGCGCGCACGTCCTTCCTCCAATCTCCGAATCGAACCAAGCGCCGTGCTTCAACGAACTTACGGCAAAGGCGATATAAAATAACGCCCGAAGGGGAAAAATGATCCGGCCGCAGCCGCGACGGCTAATTGCATTCGTTAAAGGGGTCCGCCCAGACCGCGTTAGTACTTTCTCCGAGGGGGGGGGGGGTACTCGCTTAGCTCGCCACTCGTCGTCTCTTACCTCTTTCCCTTTCTTTTTCCTCTCTCCTAATTTTTTTTGTTTTATTCCGCCCCCAGACGCAACTCGCGCCGCGCTCTCCGCCGGATCTTTCCCTTCCGGCCGGCACTCGTTGCAATTTGCGGGAGCCGGCGCAACGGCGAGAGAACTTCCTGAAGAGGTGTTACGAAAGTTTCGGATCGAATGAACGAAAAACGGCGGCGAAGTGGACCGTGGCGGCTGGCAGGACCGCTGGTGGATTGCCGTGCGAGGCGATATGACTCGCGCGATTATCGGGCCCTTCAAATTCGCCGCGAGGCTCCTCCGTCTTTCATTCCGAAATATTCGCACCGAGATTGGCCGTTCTCCGGCGCCCCGGTGTTTGCAAAGTGCGCTTTTCCTCTCCCGTCGCTCCGAACGACGGGGAATGTATCGTGAGGTGTCGCGAAGGGATGTGTATTATTGACGATGCGAATAATACGTGACGTCAGCGGAGCGCAGTAGTGTATCTAATGCTCTTCGTGGAATTTCGACGATTTAATATCCCCCGCAATATCCCTCATATAGGGGAGCTGCCTCGTATCTTAATCCACCACGTTGGACAGGAGGACGAGGAGACTGGAATCGAGCGGAAGAGTCGAGGGGCTCGCGAGTGCGGCAGGTCGCACGGACGTTTTCGTTGCGTTTTATTGATCCGATACAGTCGTAAATGGTACAATCGGCAAATTCATCGGCGTTACAATCGATAGTCATACATATATGTACAATTATGTACACGGCGCCGGAAAGCGCGCGCTCGCTGCAAACAACGCCATGTCCGTTTCCAGGACGCTTCCGGCTTGTCGTTACGTCGGAATATAACGCGGAGAGGACTCGCGGCTCTCTACGAGCGCGGCCAGGACCGAGTGTCCCGTTGCTCTGTCCCAACTGTCGAGATACAAAATCGTAAAAAAACGAAACTATGGGGGGGGGGGGAGTGGTTTCGGAGTGGAGTGGGACATTTTCGGGCGAAAGGAACGAGAGGCAGGGCGGGCAGAGAGATGAGGCGGGGCAGATGGGGTTCACAATCGGGTCTCTATCGAAGACTAGAAAACGTATACTCGATTCGTTATTGTACACTAAAGCCGCGGCAGCACTGTTTTATACTGTCTTACTGTCTATACGCTTTAATAGAGCTTAACGCCTACGCGATTACACTTATACGTGTGTCGATATGGATAATGGGTGGACGATCGAGCGATCTGTCGATCGCGCAACGCTGAACGAAGATCCGTCCCGGTCAGCTCTGTCCCGGAGACAGAATTCCGATCCTTCGTCGACTGTAGGATAATTATCGGCCTTTCGTGGCCGGTTCTCTGCCACCTCGTCATCGTCGTCGTCGTCGATCGCGCCTCGTCAGCGTTCGATCGGGAACTCAATGCTCGCGACCACGTCCGGTCATTAACTGTTTCAGCACCGGCTTCAACGCGGAAGTGCACACGGAAGTCTCGAATCCTGGCCCGATCGTTTGAACTCGACGGAAACGCGAGAAATATACGTTGCGTTACTCGGAAAAATGGCCTTCACACGCTCACCATGAAACGAATACGTTTCTCTCGACGGCGCGCTATTTTTCCCTCGCCAAAGCGATGGATCGCTTTGCGAAACACACAAAGACTTCCTGAAATTTGCCCATGTATCATGTCGACGCGGCCATTAATATCATAAACGTACAGGCCGCCTTCAGCGATGGCGCGTGCATCAACAGCCAGCGCGTGCTAACGATACCCCCTCCGATAGATCGTCGTTGCAGGTGCTGAACGAGTTAATTAGGCGATCGACGAAAACAGGAAAAAAGAACACGACGGACGCCGCGCGGTGGGAGCAACCATCGAGTTTCTTCAGCGGCTACCTGGCGGGCGCTGCGGAAGAAGCTACTCGAGGTCCTTCTCGATGCCCCTCTGGGTCGACCCTCGAGGCGCTCTCTTCGCGCACTGGCTCGACTCTACTCCCCAGAGTAAGAAGTTCTAAGAACCGCCGTTCCCTAACCAGAGTATCGACAGAGGAAGAGAGAGAGAGAGAGAGAGAGAGAGAGAGAGAGAGAGAGAGAGAGAGAGAGAGAGAGAGAGAGAGAGAGAGAGAAAAGGAGAGGTTGCCTGCGAACGAGCGATACCTCGCTCGCGCTTCTCCCTCTGTCAACCGATGAATTCCGCAAGAGGCACTCTTATTCAAGGCGACTCTTCGGCACTCGGCGCGATCTTACCGGACCGACCCGATTGATCGCCTCTCCTCCGGTAACGTCGCTTCTCAATAAAGTTCGTCGGCGACGATACTTGGCTATTTGCTAATGGACGTCTCCTTGCTTCCGAGAGCCGCCGTCGGTCGAGTATCTGGTAATTTAGCCAACGAATACATATCTTAGATCGTCGACGAAAGGTCGATCGTAACGTAGACGGAGAGTCGCAGTTAGTTGGACCGACGTCGGGAACGTGGCCCCTCGAAGTGCGTTAGGTTTTTTATCGAGATAATCGTTCGAGATAAAGAAACATACTTTAGGAGCGTTAGGAAAAAATATCTTCTTTGCTCTGCGCCGTGGCGGGGTGCGGCGTAAGTAAAAAATGGACCGATTTTCAGCGTGTCGGAGGGATCTTTTTATATGTTGGCTCTTTCGTAGTATTTTAACGTAAGAGATGCGCTGGATCGCGCGACGTGTGTGCGTGAATGATATATTTCAGTCTCATTGACTCTCCGGAATAAAGTGATCCTTCTTCTTTCTTTCCTTCTTTCCTCCCTCACATTCTACGAGTGATTTTACAGCACGTTCTGTATTCCTTTATTTCTTCCGTTTGGGTATTCGCGACTTGTTATCGATATTGTCGAGATGCCCCGTTCAGCACGATTCCCGATCGCGTGAAATCAGTAAAGCGATTCCAATTTCGACTGCAGTCTCGCTTCTAAGTCTCAGTTTCTCGAGCTCTCAGCGAATTCGAAAAGGTCAACGGTATATACGCCTCCGTCGGAAACCTTCTTGTCGAAGTTTCCGGACCTGTTGAATCGTTATTTCTCTCGTGGACTCCGTTCATATTCCGGCGCGAGTACGTTTCATGCGGATTAACATCCTCAGGGACAACAAATTCTTGAGTAGCTCGAGTAAAAAGTTCGACGGTCACGAGAGCGCTACGTTTTCTACGCGAAACGTTTCCTCACACTTTCCGCTGGAAAGTAGCCGTGCGAGCTGCAAGCTGAGTATCGCGGATACTCGCAAGAAACATTTTTTCTCCTCAACACGGCTCGAGCACGTCCTTAAGACAAATCAAAATGTACACACACGTACATAGAGCGTACTATTGTCCCCGAGGAGACTAAAGAAACACCAACGCTTCCTTTTCGCGCGCCGTGCAACCTCGCCGTAGAATCGAGACCTATTCGGCGCTCATCCGCGTCTGACATCTCAGAGTGTGATTCCGAGAGACCTCAACGACGCTGCCAAGAAATATCGCAGAAAGCCGAGACTACAATCGATCGGCGGCCGTACACGGAGACCGATCAGTTAACGTCAACCGGACTCTCCTCGACGATCTTCTCCAGCAACTGGCCCGCCGACTCGAAGTCCCTGCACCGGTCGACGTACAGCAGCGGACCTAAGGGCGAGCCGAGCTCCTGCACAGACAGACCTTTCTTGAGGACGTTGAGGTACCCCTAGCTCTGAACAATGTCGCTGATGTACTCCTCATGAAGCGCCAGCAGGTGACGCGGCACGTCCAAGGCGGTGTGGAGGGTCACCGTGACGCCGCGGTTTAGACTGACCGCCGGGTAAAAGACGCCGTAGAGATCGCGGAAGGCGATACCGCCCTGCGGCTGATCGTTGACGAAGAAGCGCAGCGTGTGCGTGGTCTCAAGGTCGAGCAGCACGCCGACGGTCGAGCCTTGCTGAACGCCACCGTCCGTCCTCTGCGCGTGACCGCCGCCGTGCATGAACCACGAGCGTTGTCGGTCTATGTACATGCTCCAGCCCTTGTCGTCCTTACCTGCGGACAGACCATTCGCAACATCGCACGTCACTGCGGCGGATGGCGACGTCTAGCTCGAGTCATGCTCGCTCGCAGCGAAGTGTGTGCCAAGCAAACGATAGCAACTGAATAGAGGCGTGGATCGTGCGAGGAAGGAGGATTCTTCGAGTGCGAGATGGTCTGGGAATACGTCGAATGTTAGCCGTCCGACTGACCTCCGACGTGCACCTTAGGTCGTTGCGTTTTCTTCTTGGTACAAGCCACGATTGGAGAGGACGGGGGTTGCAGTGATGGTTAAGTCAGCGTTGTGGTTCGTTAGCGGAGCTAACTTGTATCGGGGAAAGCGCGGCTAGATCGCGAGAGTCGCGAGAACGTTGGTTTCGTTGCCGCGCGATAAATCGCCGTCAAATCCATTAGACTAAGCAGTCTTCGGATTTCATCAGCTCTAAGAGCGTTGACCCGGTTTCCGCGTGTCCGTGGATTAAAGTAACCCTCTCTTCCGGTTCGTTGCGCAACCGCGGTCGACGAGCACTTTCCGATCTCTTCGTCGTTGTCCCCCTCATCCGGTGCGACACGGAGAATGAGAGATGTAGATAGAAAGAGGGGGAGGGAGGGAGAGGGAGAGGGAGAGGGAGAGAGAGAGAGAGAGAGAGAGAGAGAGAGAGAGAGAGGGAGGGAGGAGGGGGAGAGAGAAGGGAGGAGGCGAGGGAAACGTTACATCTCTCGCCTCCGGATTTCGACAAACCGGGGATCTCCGGGGTGTACCGGGTGGCGCATGAATATTTCATCGACGCCGGCTAAACCACACGACATTTTCCGCTTCGGGATAGAGGCGGCGGGAGGCAAGAGGTAGAGCGCAGGAGAAGGACTTACCCAGCATCTGATCGCGCGACACGTCGGCCCGAGCGATACCGAAGGCCGGATCGGTGTCACTATGGTATCGATCGATGGTCAGCTCCCAGTAGTGCACACCCCGCGAAAAGCCGACGCTCGAGAGGACCACACGGTGCTCGTAGCCTTCGCAGGACGCGCTCATCGCATCCTCAGATATGGACACCTCCTGCGGTATGCCGGCTGCTCCGGTCGCCCACGAGAACCACGCCACTGTTGAGCAGATAGAGAGAGAGAGGGTTCACCTCGCTGTAGCTTCGATTAATATTCCGTGGACTCGATCCGCAAGCGCGCTTAACGAACTACACGTACGGGCGCGAGAGAGCGAGAGAGCGGGCGAGCAGGCTGTATCGAGTGCGGGATTATTGGGAATTCGACGTCGCGCCGCGCTCGATGTTAATATAACAACGTGACGAGATTGTGGAATCTTAATGCGGAAAAGAGGACGGAAAGGGCCGGGGGGACGTGATTTTTTTCTACGTCGCTAAATAATTGAAGTATCCGATAGAAAAATCGATGTGACGTGATGGTGAGATTTTAATTGCGGAAAGGGTGTTCCTCGCTCCTCCCATCTCTGTACTTTCCGTCGTATTAAATAACTTAAGGCTCTAACATGTCGATGTCATCGCGGCGCGATTGTCGATTTAGCCTCGCGCGGCGAATATCGGGTTACTCGCACGAAAAAAAGAAATATATTTTTTGTGAACGTTGCATCATATTCGCGAAAATATGACGGAAAATAACACCATTGAAATTTTGCAGAAAAACTAATTTCAGTAAAACTAATTCGTATGCGTGTTGAAAATCTCGGCAATTTGGACCGCAACGGATTTTCCGATATTCGATGATGTAAGTTGATTCGTCGTTTTCGAGGACCAAATGACAATAGCGCCAAATTCTCTGCTTCAGATAGCTGAAGAATTTAAGACAAAAGCAGCAACGCGGCGAGGCTGAACGAGAGGTAATAATTGAGCCGATAATTGCATTTCCGGGGCGTCGGTTCCGAAGCTGACGCGCGCGAATAAAAGTGTCTCGGCCCCTCGAAATCATTCGTAATTGTCGCCCGCATTATTGCACGGACGACGCACGGTGGGAGAGCCTCTATCGCAATTTTCCGTCCGTCCACCGTCCGTCTCATCGATCACGCGATTGCACCGTGGAAAAACACGCGCAGCTGGAAAATCGGCGTCGGTCACGATCGTTCGTCTTCCACGCAACACTGGCGCCGATTTTCTAGCCGAGGCCTTCGCGCGTCCCTCTGTTCCTCTCCGGCCTAGGAGGAGGCCGTGAAAAAAGAAAGATAGAATCTCTCACCCTCCGCGGTCTGGAGGCCGATCAGCTCCGAGTACTCGCCCTCGCCCGCGCTGTTGAACGCCCGCACCCTGGCGTTGTAGAGCGAGTTGAAGTGCAGCCCGTCCACCGTGCAGATGGTCTCCCGGCCGCAGTACACCTCCTGTGAATCAGATTTCAAACGGGGCATTCGTGAATATGCGGCTTGAAACCGTAGTCGAGTGACAGCTTCCGCTAATTGAGCAAACGGTAAAGCAACATATTACGCGCGGGATTAATTACACGGTTTCGAAAGTGGTGGCTGAAAATGTTGATACTGCTCAAAACGCGAAGAAACATTGGACAATATATTAACACAAACACACACACACACACACACATATATACATATATATATATTGTATAAATAAACATTTGATAACACAAACACGCGCTGACACGCTTCAACGTCGATAACTGAAACGAAGCTTTTTCTACTCATTAATGTGTTCCTTTTCTATTCGTTAATGAGGGTCACCTTTTGAAGCTTGATAATTCGCGTTGCTCGATAAAAAAAGCTCGCGAGATAAGAAGAACCGTCTGACCTCGGTTTTCTCTGTGCAGTTTAGATTGGGATGTTTAGCTCGCGGCTCGAGACTGGAAAACTCCAGTCCACCGCAACCGAGCGATTCCGGCGAATCTTGCCGTTCGTCTCGAGAGCCAGATAAACGAGAATGGCGGATAACCGACAGAGTTCCCCCGCCGTGTCGACTTTCTTAAAGGAAACGTCAAGCTGACATCGATTGGCCGACCGACAGATAAACAAGTCGAGGTACGTTATCAGGTTTACGTCGAGATAAAAGTCTCGCGCAGCACGTACACCGAAATCAAAGAGAAACGATCTGTTTCATTCATGAACTCTCCTTTGACGGACATATTTCCTCTTATATTCAATAATATTCTCGATGCAATTTCCTGCTGATCATTGCGCATGCGTGTCTCGGCGGCGCGGCGGAAACGCGGCAGTTTCCGGATCAAAGTCACACACGAGGCTGTGAGACAGTGCAGAGGTAATTTATCGAGATTTCAACGAAATTCTGTCAAGTTCAGCGAAGGATCCACCTTGGAGTCGGTAACGTCACGTTCCGATCGTTCCTCCAGACCCGAAAAAATTCACACCCGACAGCGAAATAGCGCGAATCTAACAACGAGCTCGATTGCACGTGTCATCGTGTCATCTATCGAGGGATCCTCTCGGAGGATCGTCGCGCGCCGGGCTCGCGCAGAACAATTTCGCAGGAGCGGCGCGGCGCCTGCGGCGAACGACGAGCAAGCGGAAACCAGAAACCGGGAAACTCGAGGCGTCGTGCCGCGAGAACGAGCTCGATTTAAATATTAAAAGGAGGAGGATGGGCCGCGCGATCCGCCGCGATAGCCGCCAGGAGGAATGGCGTCGGGCGGTGCAAGGGGAGCCAGGAAGGACGAAGAGAGCGCCGACAACGAGGACGATTTATATTCGCGGTATCGCTCCGTTCGTTAACGAGCGCCGTATCGCAACGCCGCCGGGTGCATTATTAACAAAGCATGAAAATTTAGACGCGCGATTTACAAGCCCCGGCCCGGAGCACGTTCAGCACGAAATCATACACGGCCGGACGATGTACGTGCTGTTCTCGTCGATTCTCCCGCTCGTCGATTTAGCATTATGTTTCGCGCGCAGGCTGGCGGCTTCGATGGGGCGGACTTGAAAGGCGCGAGGGATGAGTAATCTCGCTCCAAGTGCTTTAATAATAAAGCGCGCGCATACACACACATTTGTATGATCGTGTAATCCTGCGCGGCGGGATCCGTCAATAATGAAATATTTCTATAATTCAGCGCGACTAGAAATTTATTATTACGTTCGTGAAATTTATTGTGCGACGTCCCCGTCGACGAAACAGTTAGGTATTATCCTTCGGTGTTTAATTAACGTGCGCATTTTTTCCCTTCTACTCGGACACACGTCTCTCCTCTGATTGATCCGACGATATCCGAATGTTCGTGGCGCCGGTGAAATCGACGATATTATTAAAACGACGTCGAGCGCGCAGGAAGGAGGATCGAGTTTTGTAATATCAAGTGGCTGGCTCTCTCCTCGCGTGCAATTTTATTCCTCTCGCAGCGGCGGTAGACAAAGCCTTATGAAACTCGACCACCGCCAGTAGATTGTCCCACATTAATATTGTGGATTATGTAACAAACGACGAACGCTCGAACTACCGTCATTTGATAAAAACTTGTAACGAACGGGACGATATCGCGACGGGCAATTAATAATTGCCGTCGCCCGGGAGGATCGCGCTCGTTTTTCACGTATAAGCCTGGAATCTTGGAATTACGGCTTTCAATTAACGCTTTCAATACCGGATCCTTATTTACCGGTCGGCAAAAATCTTAATCCACGTGGCGGCCTTCGCTGCGCGATCGCGGATACACCCCCCGGCAGCTTCGCAGGCTTTTCTTCGAATGCGAAAATGAATCCGGTACGTACATAATTGTCTTATCGCGCTTTTCGCGGACAATTAGAGATATTATCGCTCACGCTTCCCCGGCCTTTGCCGTGTGCCCCGTCGGGCACACTTAATTCACCGCTTACAGATTCCGCTTTTTATTCAGCGCGCTAATTCCAATTCCAAATTTCTCAAACTCGCGCTGTGAATTCTCGCTCCGCGAGAAAGCCTGCCCTTTAATCCCGGACTTTTTATACCGCGGTCCGCGCGCTGCTTAGGCTGAGTTATTAGCCGTAATCGCTACCGCGTTTTCAGGCCGGTGCTTGGCCGCGTTGCCGGCCGCGTTTACGATCAATAAAAGGCGAAAGACGGCGTTTCGAGGCCGGCGGGCAAAGTCCGGTCTGAGAATAAATGCGATGTACGACCTCGCCAGGCCGGAAACGCACGTCGAATGGATATACGCGCTCGCCCTTCGCGAGGCCGGCTGGCCGCCGCGCGAGCGATTCGCCCCGATGCGAGCGGCGTAACGAAAATCTCTATGGAGAGCGTAAACTTTATGACCGATCGGCATCAATATTCATTTCGCAGCGCGCAACCAATTTCCATCGCGGGGACTTTACGATCGTGTCGCCGTCGTCGTTTTTTCTCTCTTTGCCGATCCGACCCGCGTCCGATCCGCCCGCGCTTCAATGTCACGCGATAGCCGGTGTTATCCTTCGCTCAATTGAAAGGTAGCTTTATGCACTTTACGTTCGCGATTTTATTAAACGACGCTGTCCGGGGATTTGTCCGCGCAAAGTACGTTTCTCGCGTATCTTCGTATGAGAAGAATTGTCACGATGACACTTGGAGGCCGCGAAACGCGGGCGACGAAAATTACGCGCGCTTCCCGCAATGAGGAAACGCCAGTAGAGAGTGTTTCGCGATAACAACGAGAGAGTTGCGAGAGAAAATTTCGCTTCGAAATGATCCTTAAACTCGCTGCATTCATTTACGCGCACTGCGGCATTTCATGCTCCGCGGCAACATAATGATTTAACAAGCTTGTAGCCAAATATGCATCGTGCGGAAAAAGAGAAGAGAAAAGATAGTCGAGAATGCGAGGGAACTATATCGTAGAATTTTAACGAGTGCATTTTGCAAAAGAACTTGCATCTCTTCTCTCTCTCTCTCTCTCTCTCTCTCTCTCTCTCTCTCTCTCTCTCTGCGTTACGCCGTCACGTTTAGCTCAACATGTACATCCAATCTTTTAGAGTTTCCCGCCACGTTCGTGCGATTCGTCTCTTTTTTTTGACTATTTTTGCGCTACGACTAACTTTCTTTCGCTTGAGAGCGCGCGAGGAAAACTCGCCTTAACTTTCCGAGAGCGAGACTGCCGGATAGTCCCGCGCCATCGTATCCGGCGAAATTAGTTTCGCCATTGCTCCCTAATGGCCGGCTCTTCTACGCTAAATTCGATTTGTCGCGATTCTAATAAACAAACAGCACAATTCAATCGCCCCTTTATCTCTCATCGAAGCAATTTTCCCGCCAATAGACGCGACACACTCGCGAGATGCTCAACGATTCAACGCTCCGATGGGAAAGCGACGCGTCGTTCTCCAGATATTCACTGGAGGCTAGAAGGAATGGAAGGAAGAAGGAATGAAAATCAAACAACGTCAAACATTATTTATCGTCAGCTGGCTGGGTCTCGGTATCGCGCACTCGATCCGAGCCCGATCGGAGAACAATTCCGCGACAGAACGTCGAGATGCACCGCCGTCCCATTGTCGGGCAGAGCCGTATCTCTCCGTCTCGAAAGGCGACGGGGTGTCCGGCCGACGAAGAAACCGCCGGAGCAGGAGCGGTTGGCGAGGATGAAAGGTCCGGCGAGTGAAGTGTCATCGAAGAATTCACGGACGATCCCCGAGAAAATCCTGATCCGAGAGTCGGCCGACCGAGGGGAGAGAGGGAGAGAGAAAAAGAGAGAGAGAGAGAGAGAGACGCGACGGTACAATTTCTTCGGGATACATGCAGTGTTTACTCACCCTGAACTCCCCGCCGCAGCCGTCATCGAGCTCCAAGAGATAGCCCTCGATGGCGGGACCCCTCTGACCGGCGCAGCCCATAATTCCGTGTCCAGGTGGCGGCTGCCAGGCAACGGTGACGCTGTTGTTCTCGGCGCTACACTCTTCGGGGATCAGTAGAGGCGCTCCGGGTGCTGAAAATGTGTGATATCGCCGGCGTTTTAATATCGTCCGACGTTCCTTGGGAACGTCGCGCAGGAGTGAGATACGCGCGCGACACGCCGAATTTAATAATGTCGTTTCGCTTCCGGGGAATGCGGGATTAGGTCTGACGAGAGGGACTCGATAACTCTGCGAACTTGGTCGTTAGGCGGTAGCCTAACGTAGAGACGCGAGCAGACAAAACTTCCGACGACGGGTCCGCCGATCAATTTGGCATCGATCTTCCCGGCGCGCGAAAGGAGGCGCGACAGGAGATCCTCTACGTCGGTAGCCTCGCGACGGAAAAATAAACGTAGTACCGCGGGGCTTACTTGTAAGAACAAAGTTGTAAGAATATCGTAGATCGATTATTATGCTCGTGTAACGCGCTGAAAGCTTTCAGCCGCGAAACCGGGCTCCGGCCCGGTAGAACTTTCTGCACACTTAGGAAGTTTTCTAGGTAAGTAGTTAAACATTTTACATTTTCCTAGCGAAAGGATTGAGGATGAAGGTATTTAACTTTGCAGAATTCGAATCGCCAAAGTTTGCTCTCAAGTCAGATGAAAGTCCGTCGCGCAAATAAATTAAGATATAATAAATCGGAGGAAAAACAGTTATGCGATAACATCTAAATGACGCTCTATTACACGATGTAAACATAATTTATATAAATAAATTTTCACGCACGTGTGTGTGGCAATTTGCGCGTAATGAAAGAGAGAGAGAGAGATGTTTGATATTTTTTCCCGATTTTGTTATACACTACGAGAGAGTTATTATTAAATTTGCGTTGCTGTCAGACGACGGAGAAACAAACAGAGCTCAGAGAGCTTTTTTGTATTCCAACTTTCCGCGTGAAATCGCGCGCGCGCGACCGGTGATAAGATATTATATATTAAAAAATCCGTGAAAATGAGGCAACATGCATTCGCGCACTGATATTATACAACCGTATTATCAGTTTGCCGCCACGTTGGTTTTAATCACTGACGACTAATTTCAATATAACATAATTCGGGCCCGCTTCGCTGGGTAGTTGGTTGCAATCCGATTTGCTTGGAAGCCGGGCTTCGGTGATGACCTTCGGCGGCAATAATTTCACGATTTAAACAGGCTTCGGGGCGAAATTTACCGCGAGTTTCCTAACGACGAACGGGGAGACTATTTCGTCGCCGCGTAACCGCACGATCCCATTCGATTCTGACTGTCCAAGGTACAAGTTGAAGCCGCACAAATTACTGCGCGCCCGTTATCCAGATTTCTGCCCGCAGACCAACGGTTCAAAGCGGAACAACGTGCCTCGATATGCCAGATCGATCCGAATTCATGAATTCGTCAGTAAAATGCCAGAAGCAAATTGATTCTTCAAATTGAAACACTGCACATTTAATTTAGAGAATACCCAACAAAAATGTATACCTGTTCTCTCTCGTTAATAACTATTTTTTAAGCTAGTAAAACGTAAGGGAAACTCTGTGCCAAAACGTGATAACGTGATGGTTATTCTCCAATTTTTGGGAAAAGTGTTCACTTGCGAAAGAGTGCTATTATATATTTATTATACGATGCCAGGATATATGTATCTCCCTTAAAATTGTTATTCAATGAGATGACGAGGTTCTCTTTTTTCTCTCTCCCTTTCCCCTCTACCTCTCACTCCTTCTCTCTTTTTCTCTTCTTTTTATTCGCTCTCTGCCTCGATCATAAAAACACCGTTGTTGAAAACGATCGCACGGGGACGAGGATGCATAATGGACTACGCGAACATCAGAGACAGCCCATTTGCGAAAGCTGTTCACGCGACAGTCGTTACTACTTCTACATGCAATTATCCGGTTCTCGATAGAAGCTTGTCGTCACGTCGTCGCGTCTCGTCGCCGCGATCCATGTCGACGTCGACGTCGTCGGTTAACTAGTATGAGGCATGCTAATAAACCGAAAGCATTTCCTCGACACGAAGTCCTGTCCGACCGTGTGGTTTCGTGCAAACTTATCTCGAGGACGCTCGACGATGCCCGACTTCCTGTGCCGTCCGTTTCGGTCGTCGATTCCGGCTGCGCCGGCAGCATAATTCGATCGGATGATCCTCCTCGTCGCGGCCGACGACACGCCGAGAAGTAAACACGCGCCAAAAAGACGAGAGAGAGAGAGAGAGAGAGAGAGAGAGAGAGGCCGGCTTGGCAAACACGTCGAGATGCGGCGTAGTCGAATAAAAGCGAATATGTCCCGAAAGTTATCGCAGCCTTTTTGTCCCGCTGTTTGATACGGTCAAGTCCGCAAAAACCGAACGAGTCAACTTTTTCACGCGGAGTGGCGCTTTCGAGCCGCATCATTTTTTAATCAACGATGATGGCCCCTCCGTCCCTTTTTCCAGCAATTTTTGGCCGATTTCTCTCGCTGTTTGCTAACCGATACATCCAGCTTAATATCAATTTTGAATTAGATCAACTCTGGCTCCCTGCGCTCGCGTTAGGCAGAAATGGCCGGACGAGCGAATCAGTACAACGTGATCAGTACAACGTGATCGTGATGGCAATAAAAGAGCGAAAAATATTTCACGAATACGAAAAGCGTGATTTCGATCGCGTGCATAGCGCGCATCCGGGCAAGTGAAAAACTACTCCCATCGACGATTTTCGCGGAGTAAAAGCCGCGGAAGTCGCGCTGAACTAATCATCTTTCCGATTCCGACGGGATTGATTCGCATGAATTCGACTGCGCGTGAAGAGACCTGATGATGCTTCTCCGATGTATGATGCAGAAAATTATTCATACGACTCGTTAAACGACTCGATTTAAGTTGGAAACATCGGATACTTTCGCACACGTTGCCCGCACGTGATTTACGAAACATTATTATAAACAAATATTATAACGAATACAATAATCATCACGCTGTTGCTCGCGGCACAAATCAATATCGTCATCGTAAATTATAAATAACATTGTGTTATCATTTATAAATAATCATAATATATATAATATTGTAAATAATAAATATTATAATTTGTCAAATAGCATTATAAGCAAACTTCCGGGAAAAGTACGCGACCAGAGAGTTGATAATACTCTTTCTCTCTCTCTCTCTCTCTCTCTCTCTCTCTCTCTCTCTCTCTCTCTGTCACGCATCGCGACGTGAAAAGCTTACGGCAAAAAGGATCGCGATAATGAGCGCGTCAAGCTCGCAGGTTAAATTGCAACTTCGCGAAATATCGCAGATAACCTGGAGCTGGCGGGAGGGAATTCGAGAGACTATTACAAAGTTTGGCTCGCTAATTCCGTACACGTGAGCATAAACACAGACAAAACAGCGGGACTAGCATTTCGCCCATTCGCTACGTCGAGGAAGGCTTAACGTGTGTATGCATAATTAACCGGCTTCATGCTTGACAGCGAATCGTCACGGAGTTCGGAGTATCCTTGGAGAGAGCCGTTCCGCTCTACCGCACGCTAAGGTCCCTGCGGTGTTTTGCGTTATGAAATTAGGCTAATGCCACGAGTGTTACATAACTGCATTCAGCGCCGAGTCACCGGGCCGCCGTAATGCAAATGAAGAGATCGTCTTGAGAAACATTTGTTATACCGTATTTTCATTGTTGTCAAGGTGACTGGGCAATGTGCGCGCGGCGCAGGAGAAAATATCGCGCGAGTGCGCGCCGAACTATTATAAATAACGGCGCTTGTTTATCCGAACCAAGCCCCACACACGCGGTAGCTCGATTAGCCGGGTAACGGTCGATTTGTTCCGATCGCGAAATCAAATGTGTAAATAAGAAAGTGATCCCTTACTCGTGTAAGCTACAATCCGGCCGCGCGAGCAGCGCGCGACTTCGAGAGATTCGATTTCACCGGCTAACCGTAAGATCGGACAATTTACGCGGTGCGATGAAAAAAACGCCGCGGAACAAAACGTACGCGCGCGCGCGCGCGCACACAAGCCGAGAGAAAAGTCGTTTATGCCAAATAGGCGAACACATTGACGCGCAATGCGGCGGGGAATAAACTCACGCTGTGCCGGCGCTTATCGCGAGCCAAAAACTCGTGTAATCCGACGTGGAGCCTCGATGGTGCCGTTCGGACGGTGAATTCTGCCGTGCCGCGCCGTCGACATTACTATCGATTATCCCGGATTTCGTCGGATTTTACGTCCGCGCGATCAGCGGCCGGCTGCGACATCCCCCAGAGCGTTATTCCATTCAACGTCGGCCGCGCGATTGTTTCTTACGCTCGACTCGCGCACTCGCAGCCCGCTCTCGTACAGCTGTAACGCGACGGTGAAAAGAATTCGCGAGGGCGCGACGATTAACTCGCGAGCAGCCGCGCTAATTGAATTTAAGCGATACGACGCGCGTAACAACTGCAAAATACCGAAATACCGCGCCCGTAGTTTCACGAGGCGACCTAATAACGACAAGAATCCGGTCGAAGCGCGAGGCACGCGCGATAACGACCACCGCAGCGTCAATTAAAACCGGCTGAAAGTGTCGTGAGAGGGAGAGGGAGAGAGAGAGAGAGAGAGAGAGAGAGAGAGAGAGAGAGAGAGAGAGAGAGAGAGAGAGAGAGAAAGGGAGAGAACGAGAGGGAGAGGAAGAGGGAGAAAGAGAGAGGAAGATGACATATCGATAATTCTTCTTTTTACGATGGTGCCCTCGTAAAAGCGGAAATTAATGGGCAGGACAGGTGCACGCAAGCGACTCGAAGATCTCCGGCCGAAGGCGCCGCTTGGCGCTCGGAGACGCGCGGAAACGACACGTTGCGCATTGGCTACAAAATGTTACGGCCGCTCTTTTTTACAGCTTTACAATAGGGCCCGACGCGAATCGACACGCCGGCGAAACTTTATGCCCATATCGGAGTGATTTATCGAACGGCGCGAGACGCGTCGCGCTGCGCCGCGCCCCCCGCGCCGATATTCGATACGTGCAGACTCTCTTTCTCTCTCTCTCTCTCTCTCTCTCTCTCTCTTTCTCTCTCGTTTGTCCTGTTCTCTTTGCGCGAATAACGCGGAAAAAGGGCGTACCGATAAGGGCGGTTTGGCGAGAGAGAGAGAGAGAGAGAGAGAGAGGAGGGAGGGAAGAGAGGGAAGGAGGAATAGAGAAGGGTAACAGGACGAGGAGCGCGTCGATAGCCCGTTAAAATGTATCGCACGCGAAATATATCTCGCTGATAAAACTCGTCGACAGGTGAAAATAAACTTCGCGGAGGATGGACGGTGTCGCGAAAAATGGTCTTCTCGCGAGAGTCGGCCGTGATCTTGAGTAAGTTCGTCGAGGACAATCTTTCTTCGCTTCTCCGACGGAGGGAAGTATCTCGAAATAGTCCCGCATGCTTCGATACTTTCGACTCCGGCGCGAGACAACGGTTCCGTTCGCATGGAACTTCTTGGCTCCCTTAAAAATGTCCTCCGATTATATTTTTTACTTGAGTCTCATGCGGTATGCGACAGTTCTTCCTTTCTCTCTCTCTCTTTTTCTCTCTTGACTTCTTACTGGCTTCTCACGGATGAACGCTTCATATATAATTATTTCTTTTCAATTAAGTAACTACTGGTGTAGAGAGAGAGAGAGAGAGAGAGAGAGAAGGAGAGAGAGAGAACGAGAGAGAGAGAGAGAGATTGATCCTGTTGAAAGTCAGGATTTGACGAAGGAGGAGAGATTATTCGTTCGCTTCCAATTGTAGGACAAGTTATATGGCAAAGAGAAACGCAATCTTTACGCCCGCGAGCAGCGAATGCAATCGCTTGAAATTTGCGTTACATTATGCATTAGCGCGCACACACACGCGCATATGATCGTAATGTTTCATAGGGCAATAATCATTCGCCCGTACGACCGACCGATCGAATATATCGGGATATAAAGTTAAGGTCGATAAGACGAGCATAAATTCCACGATGACGAATTTTCAACGGCCGCTCGCCTTCGAGACCGTGGAAGTAGATAATAATAACGGGACTTAACGACGGTGGCAAGGAAATTCAGCAATTTTTCGTCCCGTAAAACTCGTCGTGTTATCGACGATCGCGCGCTGCTATAAAGATAGAATTTAAGAAAGCGCAGCACCTGCCTGAGAATATACCGGAACCCGCTGCGACGCCGTCGCAGTCCGCGTCGATGGCACCGTGTCGTTCGTAACGTGACGAAAGGATCGACGGATTTTGACGTTCGATTAAGCCCGTTTCCGAGTTGAGCTCGAAATACGCTAGCCGAGCGCGCGCGCACGTAACGGCCCCCGTAAAGTACGAAAATGAATATCGCATTTTCGTCTCGCCTCGCCTCGCCTCGCCCGTTCGCCGTCCCGACTATGTTAAGAGCTAATTCGATTTCCCGCGTTGCAGCCGCAGCTGTTGCAATCGCGTTCGCGAATTTTCGAATATCCGTCACCGCCTCGACGATCCCGTCGGCGCGCAGAGCTTTCGGGAATATAATATTTCAGCGACTTCAAACTTCCATCGTGCCACTTTCGATAACCGTAACGTTGCAACGAACAAAACGAATGCACAAGTAGGTGGGGAAATTGTTACAGATCGAGTGAAATATTTATATTTCGTTAGTCAAGGAAGAAAGGAATAAAAAAAGAGTTTCCCTCTCGAGCGCAGGGCGATCTCGGGAGATATGCGTGCATTTTTCTGATATATTACATTCGTTAGATTCCGGAAACTGCTTGAGCGATTTTGTCGCAAACTTTACGCGAGATTCTCGGCAACTTGAAACTTTTCACGACGCATTCCTCGCTTCGTTATTTGCAAAGCCGGGTTTAAGTAAATGAAATTCCGTGTGACTGCCGACAAGTATCGCAGATTTTAACGAACTGAGGCGTGCCGCTCTTTGACGAACAAACTGCGCGTAATGAAGAAACTTTCTGATATTGCCGTACGATTCGTATCAAGATTGCTCAAGAGTGAAATGTCGCGAGAGAGAGAGAGAGAGAGAGAGAGAGAGAGAGAGAGAGAGAGAGCGCCAAGTTCACGCCTTCCACCGAACTGGTAACTGTTTATTGGACTTGGCTAAATATATATACGTATATACTATAGATTTGTATTTCATTAGCTCGCTAATCCTAATCGAAGTACACAACTGCTCGATGCGAATCCGTCGAGATGACGAACGCGCAAGGCGAAAGAGATCGCGTGCAGATCTCCGTTATGTGCCGCGTCTCGCCGCGTTATTTTAACACAATTAACTCGCGCTCGAAACGACAGGTTTTCGAAAAAAAAAAGTTTGCGCTGAGCAAAGGCAAAATGCCGATACAAAGTGCATCGTCGTACGAATCCGAGTAATTATTACAAACCGATCACCTTGGGCCGCTCGGTGAGCGACCGACCGAGCGATATCCGATTTTGTCGCGAAATTCCGCATCGAGTCTCGCGATCAATAATTCTTCTCCGACGAGTCTCCGTCGGGAGCGAATCGAATTTCGCGGAGGCTGCGTTCGTCGCCTTGACGCGACGCGTTCGTTTGTAACTACCTGCCGGTTCTGAAGCTACCCATACGTCCGTAAACACGTTAATCAGACGCGATTAACATTTACCGATCGGCATCGGCTCTTAACACCCGCCGCTCCGTGTAACGAAGCGGCGTATCCCGGTAAAGAGAGGATGTCCTTGTAACGAGTTAATACCTCCAGATCGTTACGGCAGTTACTGCAAAGCTGGTACCTAATTAATCCGCTTTTGAAACGTTTTAGCGTACGGCAAAGCCGGCGGTGAGCAAGGAGGCACGCTTAAAGGAGCCGCCCCCGGGGGCTACGTGAAATTATTAAGCGAACCTCCCCCGCCCCCCTCACCCCCTTCGCTCCCCCCGGGTCCCTCTCTCGTCATCTCGCCCGGTCGTCTAGACGACTTCGGCCGGCAAGATCGACGCCTCCTCCATCCTCTCTTAATTGCTGTTTTTCTTTCTCGATTTTATCATCTCCTCTCTTTTTTGCCGCTGCCTCGCTCGCTTTCACCGTTAGCTATATGCATCTCAGGAGTGTCTACGAGCGCGTTACGTGTATTATCTTTACCTGCTGTTGGAAATCGTTCCTCTCCTTCTGACGCTGCGTCCAACAGTACAGAGCGATATATGTAATTCGGTGAAAAATTTGCAGTTACGCGCACATCGCATGCAGGCACAACGTCAAACGGAACCCGCTCGAAAGTCCATTCTCGCTCGGATGTTTCTATTTTCGGCCTTTATTGGATAACTCGTGCAATCGCGGGATCCATTATTCGGCATGCGAATCGCGCGGATTCAATACACCGTTAATTTCTCGCGCGCGGTTATTCATCGACTGTAATATCTGAAATTGATAATAAATAGCTGATCGATTAATTCATAAAAATGAAAAAAAAAAAAAAAACACGCGCAACGTGAAAAATGTTGCGCACGTAGAACAGCCGAGAAAGAGAATTGAAATATCCGCACGCCCGCGCGGGGAAATCTAATAATCCTGCCATTAGCCGCTTCGGGATATTCGTAACAGGCGAGTCGGGGAACTGCGCTAGAATGTGAAACTCTCGTTTTGTCGATTCGAAAGGTAAACGACTATCAGCGAACAAGACCCGTTCAAAGCACAAAGTTGCGCGATCAGCGCGCGGCGGCTCTAAAGATAATTCGTTCCGCGAAATCCCAGCAGTCGCGAAACGAGGAGCTACGAATCGATGAAGCGTGCACGAGGATGTCTTTCGAACGAGTTTGCGTAGCTTTCACGTCGCCGGTGCCTCACATAACTCGATTATGTGAGAAATTCAAGTGTCCGAACTTCATCATATGCATGCGAATCTTACGGTTACACAATAAATTCGTCAAAATATTCCGCACTCATTTGTTTCGAAGCGAATGTAACGAACCGCGAGTCTAATCGATCAAGTACGAGTGACGGCGGGAGAATTCCCACTTGACCTCAAGGTATAATCCGCAAAAAGAAACAAAAAAAGAAAAGAATCTAGGGACTTGCCTGCGGAGCAAATTTATTCACGACGCGCCCCAACGCGATCGCTACGCGCTACACGTTTCCCCGTGAAATCGCACTCACGTTTCAGCTGGACGAAGGTGAGCTGATCGATGGCGCGACGCAGCGGCTTGTCGTCCAGGGTGAGATCCAGCAATGGCAAACGGGCGATTTCCTGTACGCCCTCGGCGCCACCCCAGGAGCCGGCGGCGGTCGCCGCCCGGACCGACAACATGCCGCCGATCTGCAGGAAGGCCGCGCTGTCGGTCTCCTTGAGCGCCTCGATGCAGAAGGTGAGCAGCGCGGTGGTCGCCTGCAGGTGCGTGGCGCATCTCGCCACCTGGTCCCGCAGCGAGCGTACCCTGGCCTCCCTGGTCTGCCGAGCGGCTTCGATCAGCCGCGACTTTCTCGCCTGCAGCAGGCTCACCAGATTCGCCACTCGGTCCTCGACCTCCTCCTCGAGCGCCACGCACTCCTCCTGCGAACAACACGGTCGATCGACGTTCGGATGGATGCAATCGAAGCTCGCCGATCACATCGTCTACCGAGACTAAAGTTTTCGCTCGAACGTCGAGAGTAGCTATCGGGTGAGTGCGAGAGTTTCGATGAGTTTCTCGAGGATGTCGTGACTGATCCAGCTTGACGACAGCACTTGCAAGTATATGCGGATATCTCATGTCTCACCGAGACAATAGACAACAATGGCGATTACTTGGCAGAATGGACGTTTCGAATAAAATTATTTAGTCCGTCATAAGCTTCGTCGGAACGTTTGCGCTCACTCGCGTATAAGCTGTACGATTTTTCAGTCGCGTCTAATTTCCCGACGTTCGATGACTCTTAGGTGGACTTAGGAAGGACAGAGTTAGCAGAGACAGCTACTTTCTGAGCTTTGTTTAATATCCTTTATGATTTTGGCGATACTGCTTTATGACATTGTTTTATCCTCCCAGCAAAAGTGGAAATTTTCAACACCCAGTTCCAACTTTTAAGCGATGTTGAAATAAGCGATATACCGAACCCCGAGAAATATGTCTTCTATAAATTTACATCGGGCTTACCGCAGAGAATTGAAATTATCAATTGTCGCGCATTTCTCTCTTTATACTCGCGCACTCGCGTAGACGAGACAAAAGGAACTCCCACACAAAATTCGACGAGGAAACATGATGCTAAAATCGATCAACGCTGCGCTCATGTAAAAACGCGAAAGAAACAAGCGACGATATCAAAAGGAAGCTCGGTTTATCGGGTTTTGTTCACCGGCCATAAGCCATTCCCGGTGTCCTTTGTGTTTCCGAATTATCCCTTCGGTCATCAGAGATAAATCCGTAGCGGCGCTCCCATCTGGCCGAGGGTTGATGTAATTAACGCCATATCTCCTCGCAATTTTCACGGTACCGCTCGGCGTGACGTATCCGCCGACACGGAATTTAAAAAGAACGCCAAAGGCGTGCGTACTCACGTGCACTTTATCCGTCATTCCTTTGAGCCTTTGAATGAACTCGGTCGTCGAGCGGGCCCTCTCCGACAGCTGCTGCAGGTTCTGCGACAGCTCCGTCTGCAACAGCAGAAATTCGCGACACGTGAGGGAACGTGCGGTGATTCGAGGGGGAATTCGGCGGACGTGAGATGGACGTAACGCTCGTGCGGATTGAAAGACACCGATGCCTCGCCTTTTCGCCAACTCTCCGGCGAAACGAAACGCGAAACGAAACGCGAACGTTGTTCGAACGGATAATATAAAACCTCTCTCTCTCTCTCGCTGTGTGAAATCTTAATTCTACGCGACAGATTGGCGCATTATGCGCCGCGCATCGTCTTACGCTGCGAATTACCTCTGACGCGCGCTTTCTGTATGTTAGCACGTTGGTATGAATCGCGATTGTGCGACGCGATATGAAGATACAACGCGTCTCAATCGGACATGATAAAACTTCCAGGGATTATGAGCTTGGGTGCTACAAATCGGTAGGCTACACAGCGCCGGCGGCTAATGAAGACGAATTGTACACAGTATGAGAGCGCGTTCGATGTTTGGATCGATATGTCACGCTCGTTGCAGCCGATAAACAGCGTGCACTCGCAGAGCGCACTACATACGCGCGCAAACACAGTCGCACGAAACGGGCCGGGCGCGTGGGTATTAAGCACATATCCGTTGTTTGTTCAATAACGGCGCAAAGTGCTCTTCTTTCGCTGCTGATGGAGGGCGCGACAATGTTACTTCTCTACCACCCCCCTCGGCAAAATCTCGGCGAGTAAACCCGAGGTGCAGCGCAGCCTAACATGATTATTTGATTCCAGCGTTGAATAAATACCGGAATAAAGGCAGACTTCGAGATACACTGCGCCACGGTGTAAAACGTTACGTAAACTTGACGAAGACTAGACTAGATTTGATTAGATAGCGCTAGGGTTATCTTTCACGAAGAATCGATCGAGGAATCCTCTCTCGAGTCTCCGGTTATAATCGATACGGTGAGTAGTTGTTTGCAAAAATAGAAGAGAGAACAAAGCACTCGGAATTCAGCCGAGAGAGAGAGAGAGAGAGAGAGAGAGAGAGAGAGAGAAACGCTTCAGCTTCTGGATGGAGCGGCTTTTTTCGGGATTTTCAGCCGCAAAATGCCTCAGCACTCGTCATTGTGCTGTCTACACAAAGAGCCGCGCGTGCGCGCGACAGCCTTATTCATTTATGTAAAATACTTTACGCCGTTCGGGACTAATAACATTACACGGCGCGGGCGCGCCGGGGAAACTTATAATCCGGTAGCCATGCGCATTTACAAGTGCGATTTAATTTATCGTTTTACCTCGGCGGGGCCGAGTCGAGGAGCGTATCTCGCAATATCGCAGATCGTTCCCACAGTACTCGTTTATCATTTTCCTCATTTCTCGACTTTCCTCGCCGGACAATACCTTCAGATCGATCGAGCAGATGGACGGCGCGCACTTGGTCGAATTCACCGGAGACCAACGCGCGATGCGGCGCGGTGCGACGCGACGCGACGCGGTGCAGCAGTTTCCATTTAGCACGAGAATGCGCGGCGGCCGGCCGAAATGGGATGCGATCGCGTATGCGCGCTATGCGCCACGATACACGCCGGCAGCGGCATTCATCAGGGAAGACGTGGATTTACTTGCGCGAGTCCGCGATAAAGCCCCCGATGGATCGCAGAAAAAGTCCGGCCGACGCGGCCGTCGAAATACGTTCGGTAATGTGAAGATTGATAGGAAGGAGCGCAGATGTTCAACACGCGCCGCGGCCGATGATGCCCCGAGGCCTTACGTTCGCCGAGGAGGCATCGTGAGACTCGAGAGAACCGCCGAGACCACGCTCTTAAATCACGAGCGCGCGTCCTTCGCGCCGCTTTTATCATTTTAGGTCATTTACACGGGGAACTTTCGCCTCCATCTCTCTCTCTCTCTCTCTCTCTCTCTCTCTCTCTCTCTCTCTCTCTCTCTCTCACGTTTTCATCACGCGGAGAGAGTACATTGGATCAATAATTAAAATTAATTTCACCCGGACTCTCCGTTCGCGGCGGGATCGCGTGGCTTTAATCCGGCCTCGTGGAAATTCGTTTCGCGTCTCGCGCCCGCGGCCGCACGCCCAAAATATCGAATTAGAAAAGCCGACAAAAGTACCGGCGGGCGCGATGCGCGGCAACGCCGAGACGCCGCGCCGTTTCCCTTTGTAGCGTCGTTTCTCTTTCTCCCGTTGTCACCTCCGACGGCCGAACGTGGCGGCAGCGGCGGCGGCGGCGGCGGCGGCGGCGGCCCTTTCCCCTCGCCTTTGGCGCGTATCCATTGGGCGCGACCGGCGAAATCTTATTAGCATGAAAAGAGCTCTCGGGGATTTCATCAGGGCGACGAGGTATCCCACCCAGCCACCCGCCCCCCCTGCGCCGGAGGCGTAGTCCCTCCTCGATCGATTATCTCGTGAACATCTCGCGAAGGTTGCCGGCTGATCGACGGAACTTGAAATTCGCCACGCGTATCCCGTTCCGTTTCTTCCGCTTAAATTATTACGAAGCGCACCGGGCCGGGAGATTTCACGCTTTTTCCTCGATCGACTACATCCATTCGACACGGAAGAACTCACAATTGATTTACATCGAACAATGTAATTCACGGAATCGACACGCTGAGGCAGACTCGCATCAAGCCTCTTTTTCGGCCTTTTCGGACGCGATCTTCTGCGAGTTAACGTCGCGATGCGTCGTTGTGCTCGACGCCAGGAACGACACGGGGATAGAATTTATGTAAGAAAATGAGTCGCCTCGACAAAAACACGACGGCTAAAGCACCGTCAACAACGTGTTCCAGCTCGTCGCCATTCTTCCTCGGACGCGACCGCTTCGAATGTTAATTAAATCCTTTACATTTCAATAACAATGTACGGGGCGCGAACAGAAAGTCACTCGTCCGCCGCGTCGCGCCGCGCCGCGCCCGGTCGCTGACTGTTGTCCGAGGAGTATACCTGCGGCGCGGTAATGGCAAAGATTTGTAGACTTTAATGCGTATTTAACGAGATGCCTGAGAAAGTCGTGCTCTCTTTAAGTGGCTCGTCTGGAATTTTCATGAATACTCTGATGCTATACAAGAGAGCTTCTTTAATGTTCATGCAGTCGGTCGCTCCTCCGTCGCTGTAAAGGGACACGCTAATGCCGGGACTCGCGAGGCACGGCATTTACCGTTTTGTAACTTTCCGGAATAATTTATTTAAACTCCCCGTCTCTCCCCCTACCTCCCTCTCTCTCTCTCTCTCTCCTTATCACTCGACAACGAGCGCGACGCCAAGTTGTTCGTCGCGCAGTCGCGCAGTCGCGCGTGCCTCAGAAAATTGTCTCGTTCGTGGCGAGCGCTCGATTTTTTCGACGACATTAATTGGCCAAGAGTCGCGGCTCGCAGAGACTCCGTTAATACCGATGCCGATTTGCAACGTCGCGTCGTCGCGAAAGTCGCGTTAACCCGTGGAAAAAAGCAAAAACATCGAGCCGTCACGACTGGCAATACAGAAAGAGAAAAAAGAAAAGAAGAAAAATACCGCCGGCACACGGCCGAAAGAGAGAGAGAGAGAGAGAGAGAGAGAGAGAGAGAGAGAGAGAGAGAGAGAGAGAGAGAGAGAGCCAACGACGGGATCGGCCGGCGGAAAAGCTTTCATCGCACCGGATGAAAGCTTCGTTAAAATCCTAACGAAGAGCACGCAGAAGCTTATTAAATCCGGCCGATGCTTCTCAGTAAACGCTCTTCAGGAAATGCTGTATTTACAGGGCAAACGGTAACGAACGGGAAGAGGAAAGACGTTTTCGAGGTAGCTCTCGCGCCCGGTTAATCCCGTTCGGCGAAGTGTGCGAAAAGTGCCGACGAACACGAAAGAACAGAAAAAAGCACATCAAACACATACACCGTGTACGCACACACGCACGCGCGCGCGGGATCGGCCCGATTAATTCCGCGATTACTTCCGCGACCACGCGAGCTAACGATCGCCATCCGGCCGGCCGCTTGCAATTTACATCGAAACGAACGTGTCTCGCGCGAGAGCGTGGCGCACACGAGGCGGCACAGCCGAAAGCGGTCCGCTGTGATAATGGAATCGTGTCCTCCGCCAAGTTTCGAACACCGCACGCGGCGTGGATTAATTTTCGATTAAGTTCTCGACCCGCGTCCATAATCGGTGGATCATCCTCGCTGCCGCGTCTGCGCGTCTGCGCGCGGGTCGCCCTGTTTCCGCGCGATTCTTCTCCGAGAACCTTCTCCTCCGCCCCTCCCGCCGCTCACCGTGAGATTATTAATTTAATAATTGTTTAAACGATGTACTCGCGTTCGCACACCAACGCGTGTGGGGTATATCCTTTGCAAGGCGCACGATTTGACTGTATTGATAAGAAATTATCGGCGGCGGTTGTACTTCAGCTTGAATACAATTTTCTGAAACGACTACCACGTGTGTGAACCATTTGTTTTCGGTTACGAAAATAGCTATATTATTAAATTAGCTAGTTATCGTCGCTTAAAATCGCTTGTCCAAGGCTGAAGCGCAACGAACATGCAAATTCGCGATAACGAATTGGCAAATATAGGATCGCGCAGCGATGACGAGCATCGAGTCATGAAGCCGACGTGGCTCCGACCGCCGGGTTTAACAAACCGGCGAAGACAGATTCTCGTCGACGTAAAAAGGGCGTAACACAGAAAAAAGAAAATTACAATCCCATGTTTGTGAGCTCAACGCACAACAGCGACGCTACGGAATTAAGGGCTTGTCAGAGTTCATTATCGCCGTAATGGCGAGCCGAAATGAATTTTTGCCCGCAAACTCCGCGAAAGTATTTCCGTTGCCTTAGGCGTTCGCCCTCCCTCTCTCCCTCCCGCTCTCGTCCCGAGCTCTTTACCACCCGCGTGCGCTCGCTCGCACGCACGCACGCACAAACACAAATGAAAAGTTAGCGACGGGGCGATTCGTGCCCGAGTGTAATTAAGTTACTCCTTTCGAGTTAACGTCGGCCGTGCCCGGTAATTTCCGCAGTTTTCAGCGCAACTTTTCGCCAAGTTCGA